TCCCATTGGTTCTAATTCCTCTTTATAACATGACCAATGTGAAAATAGGTTCAATATGAATGTATATGTAAAGCCTCTATCAGACCACATGCCATCTTGGGGTAGGGTTAGGGGAGAGATGGGGAGAAATTTGGAACTCAAAATCTTATGGAAGTGAATAATGAAAACAAAAAAAAATAATTAATGAAAAATACTTGGTACTTTAAAAACATATTTTAAAATGTGATGACATGAAACAATCCTTCCCCAAAAAAATTCTAGCTGATATAAGTAAGTAGGGAAAAAGAAATCTACTGTGACGAACATTAAAAGATGAATTATCACATCTGGGGCAATTCCCAATTAAAAAGCACTTTGCAGTGGTCAGGTTTGGGATACCAAGGGACAGAAACAAACCTTACACAGGGTTTATCTAACACCAAGGTTTGTTGAATAGTGTACAAACCACATGGACAAAGAGTACAAAATGGATGGATGTTATAAGAATGAAGACAGTAAACAATACTGTTTAAATGAAATTTACTGATATTTTTAGTGTGTTCTTCCTGAAACCATTTATTAAATTTGGTACAAGCTTGATTTTATTTGAGTTATAAAAATGTGGACCATGTACCCATGGGCAGAGGGTACAAGAAGACATATTCCTTGGTCCACCACACTACCACAAAATTTCCACTTTTATCATGACCAGGAAAGTGAGGCAGCACCTGTAATTGCTACCAGAAGGTCGGCTCCATCCAGATAAGAATGGTCTGACCACTGGTTGGTCCCTAGATTCTCAGGACTATGCAGCTTGATACTGGAGTAAATGAAGTTACCTGAAGCCTCTTACAAATGAACAAGTCACATGTGGGGTTGGCAGAATTCCTCTGCATCCAAGGGTATTCATCTGCATCTATGAATATTCATCTCTATGAGTAATTTCTTGGACTGAGGGGACTGATCTATCTGGTCTGCACCTTAATTATTGAGAGTAAATAATCATACAGTCTTCCATGTTAGATGTTTTTAATATGTTTGTCTGAATAAAATTAATTAAATGTTTTTTAATCAACACTAAGAGTGAGAGCAGAATGGTATAGCAGACAGAGGGCCAGCCTTGTAGACAGGAAGACCTGAATTCAAGCCCTACCTCCTAGTGGCTCTGACACTTAGTGGCTATATGACTGGGGGCCAGTCACTTAAACTCTCAGTTCCAGCCCCCTTTCCCCTAATTCCTAGGCAACTCTCTAAGACTATAGGGAGTTTTAATATCAAGAGTTGTCCACATTAGGGGAAGCTAGATGGCACGGTAGAAGGGGCAGCTAGGTGGATAAAGCACCAGCCCTGGTGTCAGGAGGACCTGAGTTCAAATCTGGTATCAGACACATATTAGCTGTGTGACCCTGGGCAAGTCACTTAACCCTGACTGCCTCAAAAAAAAATTGCTCCCGCCAGTGAAGCCACAGGTCACCCCCAAAAAAATTTGTATCTACTAATAAAAACCTTTTCAAAAATTATTTTTAAAGGATTGTGTGCAAGGTTCATTCAAAATTTTCTTTAAAGCAAAGTTTCCTGCTACAACAAACAGTTTGAGAACCTCTTCATCAGCCCGAGTATCAGAACAACCCAACTTCCCAGACAACCTCCCTTCCTCTTCTTCTAACTGGGGCGAGCTGCAGCTCTCTTTTGCTTCTTCTCTACTAACCTGAAATGGGAACCTTAGAAACAACCAGTAAAAAAATTGACTAGACTAAACATTTATTTTTTTGCTGACCTGTTCTACCCTTCATGAGGACTCTAGTAGTTAAATGAATAAAATCAAGGCTGTGGCCCTTACGAAAATTATTCTGGCCCAGGAGAAAGCTCTGGGACACATTTGCAAGGCTACTACAGGTTACCCAAATTTTCTTCTCTAAGGTTCAAGAAGATTAACATCTTGAAAACAGGTATCTTTTCTTATACATCTTTGCACACCTCAGAGTGCTGAAGGAAGCACATTACACTTTTAGAACCTCAATAAATATTTGTTCAGTGAATGAATAGAATTTACTGATTTATTCACTAAAGAACAGTTTTTGATAATCTGCTGGAAGACATCTAACCTCTTCTCCAATTCTAAAATTAGATGATTCCACTGAGAAAAGTGTGACCTAGTGGATTAAGAGCAAGCTCTTAGATTTAGAAAGAAAGAAAGACCTCGGTTCAAATCCTGCTCTGATCCATACTAGCTGAATGACCACGGGCAAGTCACTCACCTCTCAACGCTCCAGGTGTTCACTATGAACTATGTAGTCTAAATTAGGGGAGGGAATTCATTGGTCAGAGTTCTACACAATAATGAAACCAACCAAGAAAAAGTATTCTACTGTGCGCAAGACACTACCCCAGGCATTGTCTATTTTTAAGAAATTACAATTCTTTCCATAGAAGCACTGAGTAACATTAATAGACTAAAAACTATGAAAGACAAAAGGAGGAATCCAGAGAATAAGAGTTGATAAATCATGGTATGTAGTTCAAAAGTGATGCACAAGATAAAATTTAGTGGCATGCCCCCTATTGTGGAAAAAGCCAGATCCCTGGAGCAAAGAAAGGTAGGCCAACTTTTTCCTATCCTCTAAATGGTCATGCCTCACTCTAGACACCAGAATAACCAGGAACCCAGTGTTGAGAGATATATTTCACCACAGCCTCTTGTTATATGACCTTGGACAAGTCACTTCTTTTCACTGGGCTCAGTTATTTGTACCTAAAGTGAGGGTATTGAACCGGCTTGGTCTCTAAAGTCCCTCACAACTTTAACATTCTGTCATTCCATGACAGAGCCTTGTTCCATTTGGGTTTAGCCAAGCTGTTGAGTTAGCCTCCTATAGGCAAATTCCACTTTCCCTTCTCCAACCCACAAGACAGCACATCAATCAGGAAAGAAGAAATATTTCACCATGGAGAAAACAATAAGCCCTTACTAATATATACTAAACCCCTTACCAAGTCTGTATTTTTAATAACCCAAACAAAATAAAGCTTGTACCAAATTTAATAAATGGCTGTGAGAAGAACACACACAGACATTAAAAAAAAATAGTAAATCTTATTTAAACAATATTGTTCACAGTCTTCATTCTTATAACATCCATCTAATGCTTGCTTGTGGGGGAAATCCAGTAAGTGCAATTCAATTCGACAACCATTTATTTAGCATCTACTATGTGTAAGACACTTTCTTAGGTGCTGGAGTACAGAGATGAAAGTGAGATTGTCCCTGTCTTCACTGAACTGAGTTTCTCCTGAGGAATGTGACACATATACAGGTAGTTAATACAAAGTCACTTGGGGTAAGAGAGAGCATTAACAGCTGTGGGAAACAGGGAAGGCTTCATGAGGGATGTGGCCCTTGAGATGAGCCCTGAAGGAAGATCACGCTTCTGAGAGGTAGAGATGAGGTGAATGTGTATTCTGGGCATGGAGGAGATATCGCCTGCATGAAAGCATTGATAGGATATGGAATGTCAAGTTCGGGGAACAGCTAGTAATTCAGTGTGGTGAGAACACAGAGTGGCTGAAAGGGAGAAATAAAGGCCAGAAAGGCATATTGGAGCTACTCTATGGAGAGCCTTATACACTAGGCCAAAGGGTTCATATTTTGTTGTTTTTGTTCAGTTGTTTCAGTTATGTCCAACTCTTTGTGATTCCATTTGTGGTTTTCTTGACAAAGATACTGCAGAGGTTCTCCACTTCCATCTCCAGCTCATTTTACAGACAAGGAAATTGAGGCAAATAGGATATAAGTGACTTGTCCAGGGTCCCACAGCTAATAGGTCTCTAAGGCCAGATTTGAACTCAGGTCTTCCTGAGCTCAGGCCCAGGACTCTGTCCACTGCACCACCTAGTTGCCGTATGTTCATATTTTATTCTAAAGTTAATAGGAAGCCACTAACAGTAAAAAGAAACATTAGACACATCACTGTTTTTAAGAAACTATGTGTTTTTGTCATTCCTAATTATTAAGCTATTTAGGATATATATTAGTCTTTGGTGCTGTAGAAAGAGCACTAGGCTAAGAGTTAGAAGATCCAAGTCCTTATTAGGAATCTGAATCTGCCCAGTAAAAGATTGTGTTACCTGAAGTCTAACATGGCTAAGTATAAACAGGTCCATATTATTTGCTAGGCAGGCTCAGGATTTCAAGAAACAGAGACAGTTTCACACTCAGTTGATTGAGCTATAAGATTTATTGATATCACACAAAAATACTAATTCATATAGGAAGTTTACAAGAAGGCATATGCATTCTATCTCACTGCTCCCTGAGGGATCCCCATCTTTATCTGAGTTGGGGAAATGAAACCCCCACATGAAAATAGTTCCCAGGAAATCATTTCTATCCATATATAACCAGACCTTCACATGGCCAATAGCTGCTAGGGGCAGTGTGGTTTTATACTAAAGCAGAGAAAGGAAGGTATAGCCTCTTACAAATGTACCTGTCTTAGGAACCATCAGATGAAATGATTTTGGTACAGGTTTTGGTAGAATTACTTTAGTATGAGGGGCTCTCCTCATATTCATCATATACATATTCATCGGTCACTTGTACGTGGGACTTATCACTCTATACTCCCTCCACCTTCTGGGAGAAATGTTCACTTCTAACCAGCATGCATTATTCCAACCTTGTATGCTCAACATATGTACAGACTCCTCCTCCTAGGTAGAGTCCATCAGTTCTAATACAAGCAATTCACATCCACAAATAAGCTTAACACTATCACAACATAATAATATCTTTTTAAATAATGATGGCATTGACAAAAACTGGAAATATAGTATTGTCTTTAGCCCATCCCTGGGGGAATTCCCACCAGGGGCAAGAGTTCAACATTATTATCTACTCCAAGGATTGTTATGTAGTCCTGTTGATCACACCCCTCCTTTTCTGCCACTTACTGATAGAATGTTGTCTCTAGGTGAGTATTGATGTCACACAAAACAAAGGGATGCATCATAGGTCACTTCATTAGAGAAGGGCCTATGGGTGTCCAGTTACTCAGTGTTTTTATTAATTTGGGTTCTATGCAAAAAAGAAATCTACCTCATCTCTTCATAAGGTAGGGGAAAATCCAGCCCAATGATAGTCAGTGCCAAGTTGGGCAGCTGGTCAAGGGACACCAACAAACAGTGCTATTGCTCAGAGGACAAAGCCTATTAAATCTCCCTACATTAGGGGCTATAGTTTTCTAATCTCTAGCCATGTTCCCTCGTGGTGACACACTCACTGCTAGATAAGGAGTAAGGGAGGAGAAAACCCTCAAAGATGCTGGGATCCAGATCTTTTCATTCCACTATATGTGCTGTTGCTCTCCGGGTAATAAACAAAGTAGCTGTTGGTCCCTACCTCTGTCCACAGGAGAGTAATGATTTCAAGTTGTTTCCTGTCCTAGAATATCTGGAGGAGGGTCCAGAACCCAAATGAAAGGTCAGAGTGACCACCAAACAATTCTTAGCAATCGAGCTTCATCTTTGATGTAAGTACCATAAAAACCTGAGGTATAGCTAGAATCATAACTGAAAATGTTTATGCCACAAATCTTGTTTCAGGTAAGTGGTGTGAAGTACCTCTTTCAGTTGATGTGATGTGAAATTGCCCTGTGGGAAAAAGAGACCCCAGAACACTTGATCCAGACCACCATTGGGTAGCTTCCTTTAATTATTCTTGCTAACTGGTTGCTCTGCTCTGTTGTTTCTATGCTGCTGAAGGATTTCAAAAGTTGTCAGTGGCATCAAAAGCCAGCATCAAGTCCCAGTTACCCCACTCTAGTTATGATTCTGGGTACAACAGTGTGATACGTTTTGTAAAGGCAAACTCCAGGAGGTGGACCTGAGCATTAAGGCACCACATCAGTCCTTTTGCTTCAGGCATTTTGCCAAATCATTTGCCTAATCCAGGGGTGGGAAATCTTCAGCCTGGAGGCCACATGTGGCCTTCTAGGTCCTTGGGTGTGGCCTTTTGACTGAGTCCAAGTTTTACAGAATAAATCCTTTTACTAAAGGGATTTGTTTTGTGAAGTTTGGATTCAGTCGAATGGCCGCACTTGAGGACTTAGAGGGCCACAGGTGGCCTCAAGGCCCACAGGTTCCCCACCCCTGGCTAATCTCTTAGGCTATCCATTCCTTTGCTTCCTCTCTATGCCCAGATCTTTGCTGGCCTTTTATGGGAAATCTGCTAAATCTTCACAAACATGGCAGTCCTTGTCTTGTCTCCTCAGCATGGAAAAATATACACAAACCAGTCCCAGTGACTCCAAAAGTGCACTTAGATCACCTAAGGTACCTGGTATAACCCGATACAAGGAGCATTTTGGCCTGGTTGATATAACCATAAGGACACGGCTAGCCAAACTGAATCTTTTTGCCCCCTAACTGCATTCCACATTACAGCCAGACTTCCCAATCAGGGTCTCCTAAGTCAGCATTCTTAATGACAGATGTGACCCTTCTCCTAGTCATGAATCAAACTGGGATTTTTATTTAAATGTGTCTTCATAGCCCAAAATATCACTGATGTATAGGACAAAACAAATATGTTCCCAATCGCTGTCTAAATGCCCTCTGAGTTGTCTCTGCTCTTTCAGAAAATTACAAGTGGAGAACTCCTCAAAGTTACTTTTGGGAGAGATTTCCCTACTACCACTCAAATGAGGTACCCCCTAGATCAGGGATTTTTAACCAAGGGTCCACAGACCCCAAAGCTCAGTGGAGAGATTTCCAGTGGGTCTGAGAACCTGGATAAGAAAAGAGTTATATCTTGGTCTTCACTAACCTTTGGTTTCCTTTGTAATCCTATGCATTTTATTTTATACATTTTAAAATATGATTCTGAGAAGGGGTCCTTAGGCCTCACCAGACTGACAAAGGAGACCAGGACACGAAAAGGTTAGGATTCCTTCCCCCCAGATCTCATAGAATCGCTTCTCATAGCTGATGCCAGTCATGTTTCCCTAGGTGATGCTCCTTTAGGCTACTAGGCCAGGGCTTCTTCTAATCTGTGGTGAGTGCTCATCTGATGCTTATTTGAGAGCATTCCCTTGATATTAGGAATCTCTTCTACACGTTTTCCATTCCTAATTCTATATCAATTCCCAGAGTAGGAGAGGGTTTCAGAAAATTGCATTTTTCCCTATCTCCTCACTCCCTCATTCATTTGGGGGTCAAAGGCCAGCTGTTCAATTGTTAGAATACTTTGGTACAGTGGGTCCAGGGATGTGCTGGTACTGGCACATACCAGCTTGGGAGAGCCTATTGTTAAATTTTCAGGGTGAACATTTGTAGCTAAACACTATAAATTAGAGCTTGATTTACTAATTTATTGACTGGACTTAAGAAAGTGATGGGCAAATATTAATAATGCAAATGAAACTTAAAAATGTATCACGGGCACATTTTCTTTTTCAGAGACTTGGTTGTTAAACATTTACCAGGACACCCCTCCGTGGGTGACTCAGCCTTTTAGAGAGAGGGAAGGCAGCAGCCAAAACTTCAAAATCTCATCCTGCCCTTCTGAAGCCTGTTAACTTCTGGGTGAAAGAGAATGTGATCATTCCCAACTAATGCCCAGGCTACAGGTTCAGTCTTGCAGAGCCTAGGGTGGAATGCAGAGTTCCCTGAAGGCACTCGCCCTTGACATTCCACAAGAAAAAATAAATCTCTGTTGAAGGCCCTCAGTGGTGGGTGCTAGTTCAGATAAAGGTACAACTAACTTAAGTATCGACTTGTGAGGAAATACTTCTAGCAACAACAGGAGATAAAGAGGCTACTTTAGTCATTCTTCCATGAGATGGCAAAGATGCATCCCCCCTCCCATCCCCAATACAGCCAGTAAATCCCCAGGGGTGTGTGAATGCCAGATGGCGCACTTGTTATATTAGGACGCTCATCCTGAACCCTCAAACACCCCTTGGCTTAGGTCCACTTGTTAAATATATCCAAGCCCTTGGAATTTACTTAGACTGAAATATATTGCTTTTAATACAATTAGCAAATACAGAAATAGTTCTTGGATGATAGAGAGAGAAAGGAAAAAAGCACAAAGAAAACAATAACAAAAATAGCTCACAGTAATCTCACTCTTCAAGGAGTACCAAGCACAATCCTCACAATAATCCTGTGAAGTAGTCAATAAGGCAGTATTATCTTAATCACAGATGAAGGAACTAAGGCCCTAGGAGGTGGTGGTCAGCTCACAGTTACACTGACCACCAAGCAGCAGAGGCAGGGAAATAAGCTCAGATTTTCGGATATGGAATCCAATGTCCCTGGCATTAGACCACAGCTAACTTTGTTTTTATATCCTTAGGATTCATCCCAGTACCTTTTACATGGTAGACACCCAAAAAATGTTTACTCAAAAGAATTACAAGCATTTTTTATGTTATTCAGGCTCAGCATATTACTATGTAGCAATCCCTTCATTTGCGTCTGATGAATTTCCCAAAGTACTTACTGTGGTGGTTGTCCACAGACAAGCTTGGACTCCCCAAATATCCCAGTCCAGTCCAACAGTTTGGAGACTTGGAAGAGATTGTCCCAAAAAAGTCACACAGGCCAGTAGTCACTTAGTCAGGGAATAAGCATTTATTAAGCATGTAACATGTGTCAGGGGCTATGCTAAGGAGGAAGGATAGCAAAATAAATAAATAAGCAAGCAAACAAATAAACAAATGAATGAATAAATAAGTGGATAAATAAATGAATAAATACATACATAAACACATACATAAATAAATAAATAAATAAATAAATAAATAAATGGCTAGATAAATAAATAAATAAATGAAGTGAGCACATAAATAAATGAGTAAATAAATGGCTGGATAAATGAATAAATGAATGAATAAATAAATAAGTGAATGCATGAATGCACAAATAAATAGATGAGTAAGGAAATAATAAATAAATGAATAATAAGATAAGTAATAAAATGAATAATAAAATAGATAGATAGATGATGGATAGATAGATAGATGAATGAATGAATAAATGAATGAATGAATGAATGGCAGAGGATAGTCCCTGCCCTCAATGAGCTCACACTCTAGTGGAGGAATCAATATGAAAACAGTTATGCACAACAAGATACAGACCAGATAAATTGGAGATAATCAAGAGAGGGAAGGCACTAACATACTTGGGAGTCATGTAATGAATAAAGCAATGAGTTTGTATAATGATGTATTTTAATTCACAAAATAGAAGGCCCAGAGCCTAATATGAAATTCTCCAGGGACAAGATGAGAGCAAGGACAATAATGAAAATACATAGCCAGGGAGGCCACCAGAACCTCAGGCATAATGGTGTCCAGACCACAGTAAGAGAAAGTGGTTCTGCAATGGCCTATGAGAGATTTGTGCATACTGTCTTCCCTGTTAGAACGTAATGTCCTGGGCATCAGGGGCTGTTTCCTTTTTCACTCTGTACCCAGCAACTTGCAGAACGCCTGGAATATAGTAGGTGCTTAATAAATACCTGTGAATTGATTGATTAACTGATTAATAGAATGCAAACCTCTACTAAACATATCCACATAAGAAAGATACAGGAAGCTATGGCATTCTGCCTCGTGCTGGGTCCCTGCTTTTGGTAAGCTTAGGGAAATGAAGCTACCCACATAACTGGTTCCAGGATGTCGACTCTATTTAGACATGAATGGATGGATGGATGCATGGATGGATGGATGGATGGATGGATGATGGGTGGATGAATGAATGAACAAACGAATGAATGAACAAATAAATGCATGCAATAAATGAATGAAAAGCACTTATTAAGCACATGCTATGTGTTATGCACTGTATTAAACTCTAAGTGTATCAATACAAAAAGTAATGTTACCCTCGCCTTCAAGGAACTCACATTCTAATCGGGGAGGGATGTTTTTATAGGGAGGGATGTTTTGAGAAGGGGAAGTCCCAGGGATGGTGAGTGGAGCCATAAGGTAATTAATAGACATGTCCTTTCCAGGAATGATAGTTTTATTGATTAATTTTTGCCAGAGGAGAGGGAAATTGAGGAAGGAGAGGTGTGCATGTGGTGGCTGACATCAAGATGGACAAGGAGTAGCAGTATGGTAGGTCTGAACTGGGCTACTTGTGGGGAGCACTTGTCAATAAAAAGATGGGAGCCAGTGTGGAGTTCAAGTGTCAGGTTAGGCATAATCCAGCTCCATCCCCCAAATGTCCCAAAGCTATTAGAGTTTGTGTAATTTTATTCTAAGTCAGACAAAGGAACTGGAGCCTCTTATAAATCTACAGATTTTCAGCTAAGCAAACCCTGGGTACTCTTGAATACCCAATGTATATGTAGGTCAGATAAGGATAAAAATAAGGATTGGTAGAATTCCCACCAATAAGAAACTATTCATATAAGAAACTAATCACCAATAAGGAACTACTCATGGGTATTCACTTAGCTTAACCTATCAACATATCAGGTGCCCCCATTCTGGCAGAAAAGATCCAATATAAACAGCTGACATCAGGCTCATTGCCAGAGGACTGGAAACCAGGTAATGAGTTTTCTTGGCAGAAACAGCTCATGAAATACTCAACTCAGTCGCAGTCTGAATCAGTGAAAGGAACACTCAAATTCATGCAATCACATAGATTTGAACTACAAGTATGGTAAATGTGCATTGCCAGAGCTAGGGCTAGCTCAGTGTTTGGGAGGCTCTGAAGAAAAGTGTGAGAGAAAAGAGGTATTAGACTGGCTACCAAAATGAAGATCCACAGAGTCATGTCGTATGCCTGTAAGACCTGGACAGTCTGCCAGTGCCCTGCCAGGAAACTGAATCACTTCCATTTGAATTGTCTTAGAAAGATTCTGAAGATCATCTCCCAAGATAAGGAACCAGACACTGAGGTCCTTTCTTAAGCTGAACTGCTAAGTACTCAAACTCTACTTCAGAGAGTTTAACTCTGATGGGCTGACCACATTGTTCAAATGGCAAAAGTATATTTGCCTAAAAGACTATTTTATGGAGAACTCACACATGGCAAGCATTCACATGGAGGTCAGAAGAAGCAATACAAGGGCACTTTCAAGGTTTCTCTGAAGAACTTCAGAATCAATTGTAAGACATGGGAGACACTAGGACAGCACCACCTAGTATGGTGTGCCTACATCAAGGAAGGCATTGTACTCTATGAACAAAGTAGAACTGCAGTAGCTCAAAAGAAACGTGAGATGTACAAATTTAGACATCTCTACTTCAAATGTTCACAGGGACTATTTGTGTCCAACTTGTGGTGAAGCCTTCCAAGCTCAGATTGGTCTGATCAGCCGCAGTCAGACACATTGTACCTTGACCCCAACATAGTGATGTCATTTTAAGACATCTTAGAGAACAAAGGAAAATAACCAACCAACCAACCATGGTTAAGACTAAGCCTAATTTCATGCTCTCTCTTGTTGGAAAAGATGGAAGCTGTTGCCAAATTTTGGGTTCAAAGGCTACTCTATATTTTACAAAGATGTATTATTATCTTTTGTTCTTCTATCATCTTTATCTCCAAATATATCCCTCTCCACCCTGCCCAGAACCATCCCTTATAACCAAGAATAAAAAAAAAAGATTGAAAGTGGTTCAGCAAAAACAACCAGCCTCTCAACCAACCAACAGTATTTACAACAGTTCATACTCATAGCCTCCTATCATCCCCCCCACCACAAAGAATGGAGATTATGCCATCCTTTTTATTTTAAGTTTGCATTTCATAATCAGATATGTCTTTAGCATGCCTGAATTTATGTAGCTAACAAAAAAAAATTAAGTGATTAGTTTCTGTAACTCTCTTAAAAGTCAGTTGGCTAGCAAAGATGTGACAGGAGATTGTCTATTACAGCTCAGGGTTCTTTGATCCTGTGAATGAATGAATGAAAAATTAAGAGAAAAAGTATTTATCAAGTGCTTATTTATATGCAGAGCACTGTGCTAAGTACTATGGATACCAATAGAAAAGGAAGACAGTCCCTGTTCTCAAGGAGCTTACATTCAAATAAGGGGGACAAGTCATATAAAAGGCATCAGCTGCAAGGTAGATGGTAATGTCCCATCATCCTCAGAGTGTAGTAGTAAAGCATATGATAGTGCATTAAGTTTGATGTCATTGCCACTAATAAAATCACATCAATTTTTGATGATGAACCATTTGCCCATGCTAGGGATTTGGGTGGCAGGAATTTTTTCTTGATCTTCAGCAACTATGGCTGCAACACCTACAAAAGCAGTAGTCAGACCACATCTTCACATGAGTTGCATCCCACCCAGGACATTGTCTATAACGGAAGCAGGACCAGAGGTCTAGGAGACACTTCTATTCCCAAAGTTCTTAGGTTGAGGGTCCGGGGCTATCTCTATCAGTATCTGAAAGGAGCTGGTGGATAAAGTGGTGATGGTGGTTTGACTTACTTACCACACATTACTTTCCCTCAAGTTGTCTTCCTGTTTCAGCTAGGCCAGCTTACCTGGATGGCTGGTCCCTTCTGTAAGTGTTGCTTCCCTGAAAGACGGCTTCAGGGATTATACTGGGGAAGGGAGGAAAGTGCTGCCATTTGAGGAAGCTTGGGTGGGTTATTGGTAGCTGGTCAACATTTGGCATTGTGGCAAGAAAAATGTGACCTTCATCCACAGCGATATTTCTACTCAGTGATGACTGTGGGGCTTGATCGAGAAGCAAGATGGAGTATCTGGTGGGGAGCTGTATTCCAAGGCTCTTGGATTCAGGGTCCACTGGAGAAGTGGTAGCAGTTGTGGTTTGACTTTCCTTGTACATGCTGCATCCTGTCCCCCCTCAGGTGGAGGGAGTGAACCTGTGACCTAGGGAAGAAGAAAAAAAGAGATTTAGTAAAGAGCACTGAATCAGGGTTCACAAAGCTTGGGTTCTTTCTCTTCCATTAACTATGTGATCTGGACAAATCATTTATTCTCTCTAATCGTCCATTTTCTCATCTATAAAATAGGAATAATGTGTGCCCTACTTAGCCCATAGAGCTATGATTGCCCCAAATGAAAGGACTTGAGAGATCGTGTAATCCAAATCCTTCATTTTACAACTAACGCGTTGTAAAGTGCTTTGCCAACCTTACAACTCTACATGAATGCTATCTATTCTATGAAAACCCATGTCAAAAAAGGGCACTGCAGTCACATGATTACCTCACGCTTTGGTGTGAGGATCAAATGAAATAATATTATTAAAGTGCTTTGCACAGTGCCTGTCATATAGTAGGTGCTATATAAATGCTGGATATCTTCTTTATTATTATCATTTAGGTAATATAATGATGTTCCCACCTGGACATTACTTGGCCTTCTTGTGGCTTTTCACAGGATGACCCCATCTCACAATACTGAGCCTCATGATGTACGTCTCACCTTACGAGATCTTTTTTCATGTCTTTCCATAAATCCTCCAAAGAATATCTACCTTATAGTACCATGTAACATATGAAAGTTGTCAGTGATACGCTACAGCCTATTTATATCCATTATACGCTTTTCCAATGACCTGTGGGTCATCTGCACTTCTTGTCCTCCTGGTATTGTTATATTCTGTGATTCTCAGAAACAGTTTTACTGGAACAGTACAAATTTTACTGGGAATGCTTAAATAGCAGTATTTGCATTATTATGTCTCATCCCCCTGGGAAATTCCTCAATTACTGTTGCAATTGTCAATATCTGTCCCATTGTGGCACTACAATTAGAGTACTATACTTGGTATCAGGAAGACCTGGGTCCAGTCCTACTTCCACCACTGTCATTTACCCTCACTAAGCCTCAGTATTCTCATCCGTAACGTGGGAGGAATAAAATCTCCGGTGCCTACTTCACAAGTTTGTTGTGACTCTCTATTGAGATAATACACGTGCAGTGCTTTGCAAACTTTAAAATACTTTGTAAACATGGGACTAAATTCTGCTGTTGACATCAACACCCAGGAAACGAGGTGTTATAAAGCAACTGTTTTAATACTGGAGGCCCAATTCTCAAGCATTCCTAACAACAATACCTGTTCTTCGTGCATTTCAGTTGCAGGTAGGACCACCTTAATAATACAGATTTTGAATGACTTCTCATTGCTCACTCATGTGAAACATACCCCATATAAAATATTCAGTCCCCTCCTCATTCAGAAGCCCCCCATGGAAATTTACATGCATCAAAATCTCAACCATTCATGCTCTATGACTTTTTACTGGCATATTTGGGCCATAAGCATTCAACTTCATCTTTATTCATGTCAGCTAGGCCTTTTTTATTATGCCTGCATTGCTTTTATTAACAGTGAAATGGATGTATTTATTTATGCTTAGGCAGGAAATGAGCTGGAGTTTCAGGGTGGTATTGCCTCACTTCAAATCACCCACTATACTTACTCTTGTAATTAGACAGAGTAAAAAAAAAAATCTGAAGTTTGTCTTTTTCCCTTTCAAAGGCAATTTCTGGAAAGTGCTTGAATAGATTCCAGTGATTATATAAATATGATGAAGCTTTTGGTTTACTGATTTTTTTTTCTTTTAAGAGAATATATTTTAATGATTGACACATGAGATGTGTTGCAGTCAGAAACCACAATGGATAAAATGATTTTACTTTGCAGCATTTTATGATAAAGGGTAATTAAGAGTTCCAGTAAGTTAAAGAAACATGATTTTCTCCTACTTCAATAGTTTGATGGATGCATTCTTTCTTGAATCTATCCCTCCACCAGAGCAGATCATAATTCATATGTGTTGTCTCATCCTATGACAGCCTTTTTATGTCTTTCCATAAATCCTCCAGAGAGTATCTATCCCATGGTACCACCTCTCGTGGGAAAGTTGTCAGTAATGTGCTGTAGCCTACTTATACCCATTGTACACCTTTCCGGTGACTTGTGAGTCACTTGTACTTGCTATTCTTTTGATCCTTTATTGCATGATTCTCAAAAAGAATTTTACTGAGATAATATTGGAATTTAAAAAAGATAGGCTTTCGATTGGTAGAACTTGGAAGTCTTAGAAAGTGCCAATCAGGTTCCCAGATGCCATCCAGGCCACTTTCCTCCAATTTATTTTTCAGCCTAACACATTTTCCTTGTAGTGCCAATGCAAGATATGTGTGCTGGTAGACTAACTCAATGGGAGTCCCATCCAATTACACATCATAATCTAAATAATGCACATTGTTTATCTACTTGGACTTTCTGCATGGATGACTAGGCTAATCTCTTTTGAGTAGTCATGGACCTCATTAAGGAGGCATTATGGCATTTTAGAACATTGGCAAATCATCTGAAGACAAATAAGAGAATATTGAAAAACTCACGATGTAAAAGGAATCTTTCAGATGCTTAAGGCTTCCTCCATGATGCTATAAACTCCTCTGCTGAACATATACCTCCCTCCTTTCTGTCTTGCTTTATATTTCTATTTAAGAGTGTTAAATGAAATTACTTAACAAACTTTTACTGTATATTGTCATGGAATATTATATGACATTAATACATGCGTAGAAGACATCTTATTGAAAGAAAGCCTTTGACGTGGCAGTTTGCTCTGCCAATTCCTTTTTTTTTTTTGGTAGCCAACAAACAATAGACGCAGCAGAAAATTATGTTTGTCATCTGTATGACCTTAAAGATGTAGTCTCCTATAGAAAACTACCTCAGAAAATCTGCCAACTCCTGCACCATATTTTGATCAAAGATCCTTTCAGCATTTTAAATATTCTTATAATTGTTTCATAGTTGATATTTATATAACAATTTGTTTGCAAAGCACTTAATATTGATTACATTATTTTAGTCTCACAATAAGTCTACGAAGTAGGTTCTAGAGTTATTATCCCCATTTTTTTTTTGGTTTGTTTGTTGCTAGGCTATCGGGGTTAAGTGACTTGCCTAGGACGTAGCTACTAAATATCAAGTGTCTGAGGTCAAATTTGAACTCAGGTCCTCCTGGCTTCAGGGCCAGTGCTCTGTCTACTGTGCCACCTAGCTGCTCCTAGCCCCAATTTTTAAGATGAGGAAATAGACTAAGAAAAATTAAATGACTTGCCCATGATCACACAGGCAGTGTCAGAGGTGGCATTTGAATGCAGATCTTCCTGACACCAAGTTCAATACTCTATTGATCACGTCACACTGATTGCCGCTGGTGTCTTCTCAGTCATTTTTTTAAGAAAATGTTCTAATACCATCCATGACTTTTCTATTCATTTGGAATAACTCCATATTTAAAATTTCTCCAAAATTAGTGCAAGTACATTTAGAGTTGTGCTGCCTCCAGCATGGATTTCTTTTAGGTGTACTTGGCCTGTTCTAGTTTCTCTTCCCTACTTTGTTTTCTTCATATAGCTTCCTGGATCCTGAAATGTTAGAATTCAGTTGCGGTAGCTCCTGTAATGCCGAGAAGAGATTTCATAAAAATGGAATACTAACAAACCCATTCTGTTACACATCAGTTTATTGCCCCCTTTCGATTTTATCTGTGAATGTTTTGAGGATGACTTAATTTTGTTGGCTCTAAGGGTAAACTTTCTTCAGGATCCCTATAACCCCTACTACATTTCACTGCCTTATGAAATATACTACTTTGTCATCTTTTATATCCTAAATACAAAATTTTATATTCTAAATACAAAAAATACTGTATTTTGTATTCATGTTTGTATCTAAATTCGTATTTCCTTTGGGTTACCTTGTTTCCCCACTTGACAAGGAGATCAAGTGTTTGTAGACTGAAGTGGTTTCTGGAATCTATTTCCTTGTTAAGCTCTTTTTGAAAACATAATCTGAGTCAATGTCTTTACTTTTATCCTTTTCCTATTTTCAGAGTCTTCTTGTGTTATAGTTCTAGTGATGCAGTGTGGAAGAGGGACAGTCTTTCACTGAGGCTCTTCCCTTGTACCGTTCATGAGTCATGCTCCTCTGTACTCTTTTGCCAATTTAATTGTTTAAATAGGGCATGTTGGAGCTGTTGTAACTCGTGAGAACATTGGTTTTTGCTTTTGCTTTCCCTAGTCAATGATCTGACCACCTGTTTGCAAGTGATTAAAAATGATACACACATCAGCAACCAGTCATTTCATGTGTGTTTGGATATGGTCAATTTCTTTTCCTTTCTGTGATTTTGTTCAGTGTCATTATGCCCATCACTTTCCAATTCCCTTTTTGGAAAAAATGTACTGAGGGTTCCAATTAAGATGGCTAAGTAAAGGGTTACAAAGGAGCCCAGGTCTTTGCAAATCCCACCAAAAACAACAGAGACACCCATCTGAGATCATGAAAAATAAGCAAAAAGAAAATAGGTTAAGCAAAGAAGAAAACTCATATATTTTTTAACACTTTGGAGCAACTGAAACAGATGAAGTACCAGAAGCAAGGCAGATGGAAAAGACACAAGATATCTCAAGATATATCCTCAAATAAATGAATGACACAAATAAAATTTGTAAGCAAGAATTAACACCAGTAAAAAAAAAATTTATAAGAGCAAATAAAAGAAGAGCTAATAGAAATTTTAGAAATCACAGAAGAAAATCAAGTTAGAATTAGAAAACTAAAAAGATCAGAAGGAAATGGAAGGGGGTTGGAGAATGTCCAATATGTAGATAGAAGAGAAAACCTAAAAATCTTTATAGAAAGGTCACTGGCCTCCAGGGACTTATTCTGCCTTTCTATCTTCTGCCAACCTAACTGATATTGGTAACAGCCTAAAATGACTTGAATAACCCTCATCAGTGCCCTTAAAAATCATTTAGGGTTTGAGAAATAACATGAGAGAAATTAAGGTGCTTTGTTATTTCCTGAGCACGAGAAGAATATTTATTTACACATCTTTTTCTTCACTAAACTGGACTCTGGACTCTCTTCTGTCTTCCAGAACCCTCACCATGCCCATCTCTTCCTCTCAGAGCCTCACTCCAACTCTGGATTTCACACACTGGAAGTATCTTCCATTCTTTCAGACTGACCCTGTGATTGGATGGATCCTTTTGTATCTTTACACTTAAAGAGGGCACTCAGGCAAGCCAAGTCTCATTCCTCTCCAGGATGTGCTCAGGACTTCCTCTACCATGCCCCCATGCCAGGTACCTTAGTCTTCCCCCCATCCCTTTCCAGCTTCCTTGTATATAAATGTCTTCCCCCATTAGCTTCTTGAGGACAAGGACTCTCTTTCTCTCTGCTTATATTCGTATTCCCAGAATTTAGCACAGTACTTGGCACATAGTAATTGTTTAATAAATGCCAGTTGACTGACTGATTGACTGAGGGAAAGCACTTCTCAGGTGTCTAAGAAAAACCATTAAGATTTGGAATCACTATGTGTTAGCCTTGTATATTGACCAGTCATGGCATTCTTTCACCTTAGACAAGACGTCCTGGGGTCAGGCTCAGCAAGAATAGTAGCACAAAGGAAAAGTCTCAGGGGGAAGGGGTCCCTAGTCCAACATTTCATCATTAGAACAGAGGTACATGAAAGACTGACCTGCCATACCAGAAACACTCTGGAAGCATTCACTTCTTTAGTGGGTGGTGACTAGGAGCTATGCAGGATGGAACTAGAACTGGTGAATAAACATGGGACCTGCCTCATTAAGTTTATGTAGGCCTTTCTGAAAAATGTAGAAGTTCTCTGATATTATTTCAGGTTCTTTCCCAAGGGCTTTGTTGTTAGTTCTATTTTGTGTTCTTTGAACCCTAGTAAAATCTTCATTTTTGTCAATTACATGCTTGAATGGAAGTTGCTGTCAAAACATTAGATAATGCCAGATTTTTCTGGATCTAGGCTATGAGTCAAAGAGGTAAAGGACTGTCTGAAGTAAGCCTAGGCCTTTGTGTTATATGGCCCTCTGATGTAAGAGTTAACGGAAGTAATCAACACCAGATATTATAGTGGAAAATCAAATTGTAGACAATGTAGGAGAAGGATAAAAAATAAAGTCCAAAGATCATTAAATTGTTGAGATGTTTTGAAAAACCTGCAGATGACGATGACAACCCTGGGAGACAAGGTAAAGATGGAGGATTATTGACATTCCAGAAAATTTAGAAAACCAAAAGAATTCGGGCACTACATTTCATGAAATCTTTCAGGAAAACTTTCTAGAATTATCAAATACAAGCAATAATATACAATAGAAAGAACTCACAGGACCCCAACATGGAAAAACTCAAGAGTCAACTATTATAATTAAACTCCAATATCACAAAAAGACAAGGAAAAAATCTTACGAGACACACTAAGGCAAAACCAGAAGTGCATAAAAAGGGACATTAATTTGGATAACGATGAATTTTCTAAAGGAAGTCCAGGAATGACTAGAGAAATTAGAATAAAACAAAAAAGTGTGGATAATCCAAAATTTTCTATCTGACAAACAGTACACCAAACAAAGTCCAAAAAAGGACACTGGCAAGTTGAAAGTTGAAAAGTTATCCATCATGGGTATTTTTATGAAAGTTTTTGAAAAACAATCAGGCTTCAAGCCAAAACTGTATTTAAAATAATTTACACTTCACAAATGAAGACTCAGCGGCTGCAAACAAATATGAGAATCTTCAGAGCATCGTACTGGCTAAACCACTAAATGTTTCAGAAGAGTGCTTCACTTCTTAAAATGTGAATAAAGACAATGGAAAAGCAAAGGTCATCCCAAAGTGAAGCTCCCATGTTTAATAAAAAGGAAGTCCAGAAACCTTGGTAATTAATTGGGTAAGACATAGGAATTTTATTCCAAGTGCTATGTTTTAGCTTGGATTAATCAGAATAATAATTTTGAGCTGGAATAGTTGTTTTCTCCAAATGATAGCAACACAAAAATCTCAGAAAAAAGGAATTATGCAACAGAACAATTACAGTTGAATCCACAAGGTAAAAGAGAGACAACTAAGCATAAGATAAATAATTCTGAAAGACTCAATAACTGATCAACTAAAGGATCAACCATGATTCCAGAGGATTGATGATGAAGAGTATCTCCCGCCTCATGAGAGAGATGGTAGACTAATATGCAAAATGAGAAAGCCATTTTTGGACAAGGCCAACATGGGAATTTGCTTTGTTTCACTATGCTTATACGGAACAGGTGTTCTGTATTTCTTTATCCCTTCTTTCATGACTTCCTTCCTTTCTCTCATTCCCATTTTTAAGTGGGTGAGGGAAGATAAGAGGGAGAAAAAAAATAAATATTTGATAATTGAAAAAATATGGAAGGAACAGAAGGAAGGCCAGAAAGAATCACGGACAAGTAGGACAGCTTTGAAAGTTACATGTTGAATTTATTATATATTTAAAAGAAAAGCAAGATGTACATAAGATCAGCAATTTCATGCGCTTCTCATCTTTCTAAATGAAATGCCCATTTATTGATGCTTGTTAACTTCAGAATTTAAAACATGCTTTTAATTTTAAAAGACTTCATGATGAAATAACCACAAGGACTATGCTATTTTGAGTTCCCACTCAATGTCCTCTACATTCCAGGAGCAAAGAGGGCAGGCAAACTCAAAGGTTTGTGACTCAGTTTCTGGCTATAGGAATCCTCCACAGTTGTAATTGAACCTGACTCCCCTTCCTCCATCCAGCAAAAGGCAGCAAACACTGATTATGGTCAATTAATCAAGGGAAAGGGACAGCAACTGGAGGCGAAGGGTTCCTAAAGATATGGACAGGGTGGAAAATTCAGACCAGATCATTGGACCTGAGGGAAATGAGACTAAAAATCCATCTGCGTCCAGTATTCTTTCTCTGAAGTTCACAGAGTGCAGGCACCCACGCCACACTCCATATTCCCCATCTCAAGAAGGTAAGGAATGCCCAGCAGCTCAGCTTTTGGGGTCTGAGAAGCAGCGGAAGGGGAAACACCCTAAGACTAAGGAAAGGACCCAAAAGCAAGTTTTTAACACTGGATAAAAAGAAAAAGGCCAAAGTCAATCAATCAAAGAGTAAAATATTTACTATGCACCTACTATGTGCTGGGCACTGCAAAAGGTGCTAGAGATTCAAAGACAAAAAATGAAAGTTCTTATCCTCAAGAATCTTTAATTTATTTAATTTCATTTCATTTAATCTATTAAAGAAGAAAAGACCAAAAATCAAAGAAAGAAAGCCTAAATAAAAACTTAACTTACACTGAGATAAGCCAACAAAGAGATTAACAGAACAGAGGAAAGAGTAAAATCTCAAAGGAAAAACTAAAACATGTTGAACAAATAATATAAAATGAAGGAAAATGAACCAAAATTACCTACTGAAAGAAAGTCCTGCAGATTCCCCAGACATCACCGAACTACAGGAAAGAGTTCCAGAATAGTTCAAAGAGAAATAGAAATAAAGATTGGACCTGAGATTTCACTGATGTAGAAAACCAGAAGGTGAGAAAACTCCCTCTACCAAAATAGGTTGGCGTCTTCTCTGCAACTTAGAGGCTTACAAAGTTGCTTAGAGCACAGAGAAGTTAAGTAACTTGCCCAGGGTCATACAGCCAGAATGAGTCAGAAGCTGGATTTGACCTAGAAGCTGGTCTTCCTGGGTCTGATGCCAGTTCTCCATCTACTATTACCACACTTCCTCTTAAAAGAGAAATAAAATTTTAGAAATAAAAAATTAGAATTAATTTAGGTCACCAATCAGGGATATCAATGCATAATTTAAAAAGCACAAAGAGCAGAGAAGGAAATTTTTGGCAGGAAATAAACAAAAGACATTGAAAGAGAACATGAATTCTATACAAGCCACAACTGACCCTGAAGACAGGATGTGCAGAAATACATTGAAGAACATAGGTCTCCCAGAAAAACATGGTAATTTTTTTAATTGAATACCAAACTACAAGAAAATCACTCAGAGTGTCTATATTCAGACAATAAAACACCAATGGAGAGAATTCACAGATCACTGCCAGGGAGTGAGGGCGGGAGGAAATTATGCTTCAAGATCCAAGACATGTAGTGGTGAAATTTAAAAATTTCAATAACAAATTTTACAAGTAGCCAGTTGAAATGCCTTCAAATATCAAGGGAATAATACGGAATCATTCTGCCTTCATGAAAAATTGGAGGAGTGGGAGAAACAGGGAACAGACAAACTCAAGCTGAAAACTTGAGCCTAATTAATTATCAATTAAAAAATATGAATTACCATATGACCTAAAAAAGTTGCATAATCTCTCTATAACTTGGTTGCTTTAGCTGTAAAGTTAAGGAACTGGACTGAATAACACCTAAGATAGCATCTTGCTCTGATAAACTATGTGGACAAATGTGCCTGAAAGCAGTCTGGTTTGACTTTCAGGGCATATAAATATTTAGATGGGATGAGTGTGCAGGGGAGTGATCAGGTTTAATGAGGGAAAGAGGGCTGGTGAGCTTTCTGCGGGACTTTAGTTATAAAAGGATGGTCAGTGGAATTAATCAATTAACTTCTTGAATTTACAGGGAGCTGAATCTTTGGGACTTTTGATTGTACCTCCTTATAGATGCTTCCTGGAGGATGAGTGAGTGGAATTTCAATGAGTTATTTGGATGAAACAAAATAGATATAATGGAAAGGGAGTATTCTATCCTATATTCCCAAAGTATGTTTTCCTTCTAGAGTAGCCCAAACCTCAAGTGTGGGGATGGGAAAGATGGTGTAGGACCCCATGGGGAACAGAACAGTGTATAATGTTTTGGAACAATTGTGAGATTATATGTGTGTACACACACACACACACACACGCACACGCACACACATGCGCACACACACATATATAATATGTATGTATATATGCATATACATATATACATGTATATTAGCAATATTAGGATTTCATCTATTATATATTTTCCCTATATTTATTAATGGATTCCTGTAAGTCATTTACATCTTCTGAATTTCTGAAGTGAAATGTGAAATAAGGCTGTACTATTCCTAACATGCATCTGTTAGCTTGTGTGTATATGTGTGTGTATGTGTGTGTACACATATAAATATATACACACATGTATGTATACATACATGTGTGTTTATATGTATATGTATATATCTGTGTGTGTGTAACTTGTAAAGGAGCTAAGGACCATGTTGTCC